TAAAAAACCTTAATTAATCTACACAAACATGAATCTTAAAACTTACAAGGCCTACGCAATCAAAGCAATAGTTTAAACAAAACTAATTTCAGCAAATGTAAGCTTGAAATCAATGGTAAATTAATTCAGTAAGAGCACAAGCAATATCTCCTTTGTCCCAGCATTAAGACAACCAATCCTTTCCTGCCTGGTCCATCCAAAAATTTGGCAACATATTATTGGCGCATGTCAGTTAGTCCTCACTAGTATGATGAGGCAATAAAAAGGATCGGATGACATCAAAACAATAGCGATTTTACTTTTAATAGCAGCATTCAAGCCTCTTAATTCAACAACACAAAACGTTATTAACAATTTTTTAATGTTCAATCCATTATGTAGTGGCAACTTAACAAAATGACAGCATGTGTCTTCCAATTAAGTCCTAATGCAAGCCTAAAGATCTTAAGTCTCCTGACTTGAACCTGTATCTTGGCTTAGTCACAACAACCATCCTATTCTGACACAAGAAGGAAACAAAAACTTGATGTTGAGTGATAATTTAGTATGTCCAAGGTCTCTCTGATTTAAAAGCAGGGAAACATTAGATGAGTGCAAAAAGCGAGGGAGCATAAAAGTTTAAATATGTAACTATAAATCCATATCTTGAAAACACCTTTGATGAGGTAATTGTAGATATGAAGGATTGGAGAAACATTGTAATTGTATGGCATCAAGCTGGAATCTCTATAAACAAAAACATGCAAATTATGAAGAAAAAAGAAACAAGAACAACAATGTAGCTGTTTACACCTAATTTTACACTTAATTTTAAACAAAACAAGTGGCACGTCATTTATCTGCCATATGTCAAAGAGATTTTTTGGGATAACAGTACCATATCAAAATTCAAATTGCCACTCTTACTCGCAGATCTTCCATTTCCTTATCTAATGTTTGCATGGAGATTGAACAGCTACCCTGCTGAAAAGTTGTTTTGTGTGTATAGAATAACAGGGATCAAAACCTCCAAAGATTCTTATGAAGCTCATCCTTCTTCATCCATAATAACATTTTACCAACAAAATGGAACTATATAGTTAAGAAAAATAATTGATATACTTTCTGATTTAACACTTAGTAACATTGTCCGGTTCAATTATTAAAATTTATCTTTAAAAGTTTTCCCACCTTAAATTCAAATTTGAAAATATTAGTTTCTTGTAAAAAGAACTAACAAATTAAGTGCAAATACATTACAACAATACACCAAAACAGATTCCCTTGCAAGAAATTACACATCAAAAGCAAGATATTTAAACTTTTAATAGTTCAAAAAAAGAGAAAGTTCTTATGGGCCTTGGTTTTTGATTGTTCTTTCTATCAAAATATATGTAAACATCATCAAACAAGATTATGAAGAGAAATTATATTTGGAATTGAATCTATTAAATCTATTAAATCACAAATCTAATTGCTTGTCGCCGAGTGCTTTTTTTCATCGTATTCATGTTGTCTTTGATTTCCCTTGATTTTTTGCTTAGTAAATTTGATAACAAATTTTCATATGAAAGCTGGTAAATAAAATTTATAATGGGAATAGCACAAAGTCCTAACTCCTCGTACCTATAACTCACTGCACACACAGAAAAAACTCATTTAGAAGGAAATTAAATTTACAAACTAAATTAAATTCTTGTTGGATGAGAAACACAAATAATGTAAAAAATCCTTATCCTGATATTAAACATAATCTTAAACCAACTACTAATTCCCAGTATGTATTCCTAGTAATAAAACCAACTATAACTCACACGGGCCACATGCGGAACAGTTGGTGTGCATGAGAAAGGGGCCACCTGCATTCCTCTGAATGAGAATACCCTCTGCTTGCACATCAATGATCCAAATGGAGATGGATGCTTGCTTCAAAACCCGCTCCGCCGAAACGAATGAGATTGCTGACGCCAGTGGGATTCTTCAACTTGGATTTGATAGCAGAAGAATAGTAAAGGCATCCCTTGTGTAAATTTCCTCTTCTCCATCCTTTTGGTTTGGTATGAGCCTTAAATTAGAGTCATAGACCATGGAATCAAGCGCAAAATCTTCATTGCCCATGGCAGAAACTATGTTATGTAAATCAAAAAAGAAGATGAAAACAATTGAGAACCAACCCAACAAATTTTGAGTGGAAATAGCAACTCCTTACCTGTTATCTTCAGAAAGCAAACCCAGTAAATCAGGGGCACAAACCTAGGTGGGAAATCGTTCGCTGAAGTAGAAATTGATCGAGCCATCGCGGGGTAGTTTCTTGTAGTTTTTTTATAGCATAAGAACGCAGAACAACAGAAGCATACACCATCAAAACGTCTTCGATGTTTGCTGTTTCGGGCCAGCTAAGTCCATTAAGGCTACATTGGAAGCGCTATTAACGATAAGGATTGATGTTTAATAGCCTTCAAAACTAGAATAATTCTTCCGTCTCTCGTAGAAGGCCCAATATATAGGGCCTTCTCACAAAGCTTTGGGTGACACCTTGGTATACACTAATCAATACAACAAACAGTTACAATCCTCTTCTTCTCAATTTTTGGGTTTTTGTTTAAGAATTTTTTATGATTGCAACATTAAAATTCTCGTGTTGGGCTTCGTACCAGTTCTGTGAAGCCACCTGCATTATATATTGAAAATCCATCATCCTTTAAATAGCTTCTTGGAAATTCCTTGGCCTTGCCCATAATTTCAATTTCTTCTATTTTCTACATCTTTGGCTTTGCTCACATACAACAAAAACAGCCTATACCATTGGTCTCTGCCTTTTAGGGGGTGGCTTATCCCTTTATCAGTCACTCTTCCTTTGCCAACCTCTTTATCCCATGTCGTAGATGCTCGTGCCTTCCACTCCTTGCGCCTCTACCAAACCCTCTTTCCTAAGCGTGCTACCCCGGCCTAAACTGGTGGTATTCCCATACGAGACCAAGCTTCCTCCCCCACATAGCCGCTCCCTTGCAACCTCCCTACCTGGCTCAACCCGTCAAGAAGCAGCCTTTAGCCTTTTCACCTGCCCCCTACACCCTCCCTTTTCCACATAGCAGCCGCACCACTCATGGCCTCTTCCCCAAATAAATTAGAAATAAAAAAAATAATCAAATACTAGCAATTATCATTAAAAGAATATTAAAAGTCAAATAATCAATAATTAAAAATCTAAAGTCAAAAACAATTAGCAATTACAATAATTGGTAATTACAAAAG